CGAGACTGCACTCCATTTTTATTAAATCTACTAATATCTTTTAAGTAGCAATAGTTAAAATAGTAAATTAAGATATCGCTATGTTCGATGTCTACGGCAGTCAGCGCATACTTCTCCCTATGGCCAGTCTGCCGCATTTAGACCTACCACGCTGCATTATAAGCCCTGGGCTGGAGGGTTGTCAGCTAATGAGGTACCTCACTCTTCCTCTAAGGACGGAGAGTCGGGTCGCAGTAATTCCTGTAGCTTCTATGGCACTCAATGAGATGATGGTCTTCTCCCCTTTCTTATTCTGTGAACTCTCGGTCCTTTGTGTGCAGAGCAGAGGGCATGTTGGCACGCCTAGGCGTAACTTCTCACCTATTCTGCCTCCGATCTTCTCAAATCTATGATGACACCAGATCCAATTGGTTGTGGAGGAGAAGTTTCGCTGGATACGACGCCGGTCTGCCACGATAATGTTAATCACCATACTGCAGGTAACCGTCCCTGCGCCCACTACACACTGGACATAATCAGTAAGGACCGTCATGGTACTGTTACCGCACATTCTTGTCGCTTGTACGCCTAGTCACGCTTGCGGTTCTATCACAGCGCAAACGAAAAAAAATCACAGCCAAGGGCTTTGACCAACCATGGCAAGTTAATTTTACATTCCCAATGCATTTCCTCACACTCCAACCTCTTGGACCTATTCGGTCATGTGCTCATCCACAAAAATCGGGTTTACAAAACCAACTATCACCGAGGTGATGGTCACATGGTGGAGCTCACTAATATTGTAAAGAAGAGGAACCTGCCCTTTTATATGTCCCGATGCAGAGACTCCCCATAAAGGTAGCATCTAATGATTGACATCGGATTTAGAACGCCTACGCCATATGTATTTCAGGTCTACGAGACCTTCGGCCCTGTCAAGTCTCCGTTCTACGTGGTTGTGCTGGAGAACGTACAAAAGGAACCCGATTCAAGCAAGCTCTCCAAACCATCAAAGAATCGCTTACGCCGCTCAAAAGTGCCGTCCCTTTCGCAGGAATCGGAGGTTCAACCGGACGTACAGGCTGTCGAAGCGGCAACTGAACAGGTCGACGCCACCAACTGCCCTGCGCCTGATCCAGCCGTAACTGAGTCCCCACAGGATCAGCCACCTCCCGAGCTAGTAGCACCGATTGTTCGAAAGATTGATGTGGATGTAAAAGTTGGTGAGACTGTCTACTACGTGGCTAATGATCCGGAACTCACCATACCCATTCTCTGTTCGGAGTTGGCGAAACTGAAGGGCTCGGACGCCTCTGGTCTTAATGACAAGGAACTTCCTCCCGAGGTAATTGTCTCTCCTCCCCACTCAATACTTGACTCTACGTTTTTTATTTGAACAGTAAGCACAGCCCTTGACATTACTTCCATCTTTAGCATTGCTAGAACAGGTGAGGCCAATATTTTGTCAGTTTTTCCCTGTCGATCTATCTGCAACTGACAGGGGAGCGCAGTTGATGTTTTAAACAGTATATGCTCCTTCGGGAAAT